CCACATGCAGGCAATCATCAAACTTTCTTTTTCTTAGGACGCATCCTAGACAATCCTGACATTTGTTGTCTCCGCTTTTCTCTCACTTCAGCCATGTGGGGAAGGTATTGTACCTTTTTAGTGACATCCATTTCTGATACCTGTTTAACAATACCTAATTCAACCTGCTCTTTCATTATATCATCATATTTTTGCAGTGTAGAAGGGTCTTTCTTAAGTTTTCTAATAAGGCTGTTAAATCTGGCTAAAGCATTGTCAAAGTTTGTAGGTAAAACTTTATTACCTGCCTTCCATGGTAGACCAACAGAGTATCGTTCGCCATTGAAAGTGATGTTGTCTAACAGGGTCTCATGTACTTCATTTCTTTCACGTAATCCAATTGTTTTAAGGTCCCACAACTTCTGAATTTTATCTTCTAATGCAGATCTGTCACATTTCAAAAGCAAAATTGGTGATTCAGATATAAAGTTGACATTTGACTCACTTAAATCTAAATTCTTACATTGTAATGGGCCTGACAGCACCCATCCCATTGCCGTCTTTATAGCCACAGGTTTACCTGGCCCCCTCGTTTAACTTCACCATCCATAAAACTCCATAGCCAGTCTGAGCCAACTAAAACGTCAATTGTTAATGATTCCAACCTAGAAATATCTGAGAACCATATTTTATGCAAACGGGTGTAAGATTTCTTGACAACTTCTGGGTAAACATTCTTAATGTGAGAAATGTTACTGACAACACAACATTCAATTTCAATCTTCCTCTTTTCAACAAAAGATACCATCACATCTCACCACAGTGGGGTTAAGCAGGGGTGCATTGGGCATTTTTGTGTTAGCTTGCATACTACTTTGCTTAGGCTTATCTATCTTACTAACATTATGACAAATTGATACGTGATGTAGGCCATTGCATCGCAGAGAATTAGGGCTTCAAACAAAAACGCGCCAGACTTCATCGCATCCACGATCTCTGGCAACACCAACGCCATCCTTGGGTTTCATTTGAGAAATGGCCTCGTTTGCATGTTGTGGGCTTACAATTTGCGGACCATTCTGTGAACATACTGATTGGGACAAAATTCAGTTTGAAAATTTCATCAAGCGATCAGCGAAAATCTCACCAAGAAGTTGTGCAAATATTCTGTCTCGCCTTGAAATTTTGTGCCCATTTGGCACCCCATAAACATGGTCAAATACTTCTTTGACTATTGTTATGAGTACTTACATTCAATCTGGCAAAGAACAGCACAACACGTACCGCTTGATTATATCGCCAGCTGTCCTCCCGGTAGACGGCTATTTTCTGAACGTTAAATGCTTGATGATGTTATTACATAATAGAACTGTGAAATCCAGCTAATTATCTCTAAACAGGCAGGCCGAAGCCCGTGGGCTGGATGGGCTGTAGCCGTCCCCCCCCCCCCCCCCCCCAACTTTTTAGCTAAAGTATGATATCAAGGCTGTGGCATCAAAGAAAACGATGGAAAACTACGTAAGGAGCCCCCTGCATTTCTAGAACCCCCCACTCTAAAATGTGTTCCAGCCTACCTGTAGAGGAAATACGGTACCCTGTTGTGGTCGAAATTCATAGTTTTTTCACTTTTGCACAATCTGTGGTTTCTAGTAAATTCTGCCCGATTGCGGAATAACATATTTTGATTGTTGTTCTTGATCTGCAGAACCGAGGAGGCTTTTTTATTTGAGGGAGTGTTTTGTTCTTAATGTTAGAGGGGATATATTGTTTTATTTTATCCCCCAATCTTTGGGTTGTGCGTCCTACATAGCTAGAATCACCTTGGCACGTATAATTCTTAGATAACAGAAGCTTCTTTGGGTGGTAGGAACGCAATCCATTTGGATGGTTAATAGAACGGCCTTTTTGTACTGTAAACAATACGTGGACTAGCAGCAAAGAAACATTTTGTAATGTTATGTTTAATTTGACTTTCAAATCACATGGAAAAGTTTCCGATCCACGGTAGTTTTAGAGAAATCCATCAGTTTAGCGGACAAAATTTTACTTCAACCGAAAAGTAGTATTTTTCACCTCAATGCAGTCGCGTGCTGGGGAAGAATTCAGAGGGGGCAAAGGGAAAAACTGGCGCCCCTTATTGTGCTATCTTCAAATGTTTTTTCAAAGTTTCGGAAATATACAGTGAAGTAAAAGAGTTCTAATGGAAGCTCTAAAGTCACAAAATAGGCTCAATCATGCAAATCGTGATACCAGCATAACATTTTGCACACCTACCCAGTTTGATGCACTGAAAAAGATTAGGGTCAGACCCTAACTCAAATTTGCCCCTGAATGCTATTTTTAGACTAGGGTACTCAAGCCCAGTCCATTTAAGGTGCATTCATGCGAAGTCAACTCCAAATAAAGATACAGAGCTAAAAGGTGGTAGAAATACGTAGTTTGGCATACTGAAAACGATAAGGGTCAGACCCTAACTCAAATTTGCCCCTGAATGCTATTTTTAGACTGGGGTACTTGGGCCCAGTCCCATAAAGGTTTATACCACAACTCTACTGCTGTTTATACCACAACTCAATTCAACTCTACGATAAACAGCTGTAAAGTAGTTTGATGCACTAAGTGAGTTTAGAAATAGACTCTAACTCAGATTTGCCCCAAAATGCTATTTTTGGACTGGGGAACTTGGGCCCAGTCCAGCCGTCACTTGATTTTAATTTATAGAAGAGATACCACCAGTGAGAAGGAGCTATATTAAAAATTACAAGAATTAAAAAAACAGCCTCATCATAAAGGGATATCAGTTCAATGATATAAATAAACCATTCAACAACGTCATCAGACTATTGCAGTCACAACAATTCAAATCTAACAAAACACACAATGGGAATTTGTCTCCATTCAAAGGTCCTGTTTTACAATTCATTATACCATATAACAATCGCACCATTCACATCCGTCAAATTCTCAAAATTATTTTTGCAAAGAACAAAGAATTACAAAACATATGGTCACAAGCCCCTATTCTAGCCTTAAAAAGGAATATTAATTTCGGTAAACGCATACTGAATTTTGAGCATTACATGGCATTGAAAGATTTCGCCATACCACACCCTCGCTACGCTTATTTTGTCACATCTAATTCCAATGTTGTTTTTTTTCTATATTGTGAGGTCGTGGAGCGTTCAATTTAAAGTCAACCGAGAAAAAAATGATAAAAAAGCGAATTTTCCACCATCCAGAGCAGAATTTTTTCCTTTATAACATACTCAAAATCTACCGTGGGCGAAAATTTTATTGAGCTTTATATGATATACGAGGCCACATTCGATAATCAAGTAATTGTAGCACAACTGAGGGAATCTGTTCAGAAAAACAAGAAATCCGTTTTTCTTTTAAAATTGTAGATTTACGTAGGGAAAAATTCTCCTATTCTAGGCCTGAAAAATAAATAAGAGGGCTAATAAAGGAAGAAGTCAGTTTTTTTCTGATTTCCCTAAAAACATGGGCGCGATGTTATCGCAACACCTTGTTCTAAAAGACTGCAATCAAGTTTTACTGAGTTCAGGTAGAAAAAATATTTCTTCCTTTGTGGTAATACTGCAAATGACTATATAACAATGATGCGTCATTCCAGGTAAGGCTTTCTTCCGTAAAGACCCCAAAATGCCTGAAATTAGATATTAAAATATTTGAAATTAATTCTGCTTTTTTGTATGTGCAAAGTGGGTCCGTCAAAATGACAAGGAATAATGGCTAGCTGAATGACCTGGCTTTGCTGCGTATTGTATGTGATGTTGCTTAAAATATTGACTTTAGTAATGTTATCGACGTTTCTGCCTTAAAAAGGTTTTGGAAGGATGCGGCATTCGTGGACTGCAAATGTATAACCTCGCTTTCACGGCATTGATCTTGTAGCAGGAGACGCAATATATAATCATATATCATAGCAACTGCTTTTCACGTTTCATGGTGGGCAAAGAATTCCAAATACCAGAGGTCTTTAAAAGACAGAATTGATCGATCTGTAAAATTGTTGAAAAATCAGTACTCTCATTTATAATCAAGAATTTTCAAAAATTTAGGCGGGTTAGCAACAAGACTTAATTATTTTGCTACTGTTCAACCTATACTCGGGGCCCACGACACGAAATTCAAGGTGGAGGGGCCAAGTTCTATACGTTGAACTTGAATTCAAGGCTTCATAACAAGACCTCTATGGAAATATTTTTGCTTACCAAAAAGTAGGGGGTCGTGGCCTTTCCGCCTCCCCCTTCTGGTGGTGCGGGGGTAAACTTGCTTAGGAGTTTTGTGAAGGCCGCCATCATGGTAAACGGCAAAAATTGCAAAAAGATGTTCTAGGGATGTTCAGAAAATGCATCCAAGCAATCTCAACATCGCCCTAGACCCATGAAAAATCCTGCACAATACCCATAAGCTTTCTTCAAAATATGGCCCCAAGGCCGCTTGAGGCAGGCCTTGTTTCAGCTTACTACGAATTTGCCTAATTTAAAAAATGACCTGAAGTTCTTTAGCTGCTGACACCATCGTCCAAAATATAGTGTCGATTAAAAAACGTTAGAATATCAGCCCTTCGAGCCCTTTAGGTCAGGGCTATAGAACAGGGGGAGGGCTCAGGAGGGCTCAGCTTTTACTTTTTTAAGGGGGGTGTTTTTAAGGAAAATAAAACTTTCGAATTTAGATGATTCCAGTTTGCTGGAAAGCACACCTTTTGAAGCAATTTTTTAATAACGCAAGCTTTCTCTTGTACAAATATCCACAGGCTGAAAGCTCTTTGACGCTTTCAATCGATTTTCTTGTGTCGTTGTTAATTTTTTTGCTTATGCAACGTAATTTTCTCCAGATTGGGGCTTCTGATTTTCTTCCTAGCATTTCTTATTATTTCAGTAAACCAAAACGCCTTGCACCCTCCCAATGATTTCATGAAATGGAGCCTAACCTGGACATTTACCGCCAAGCCTAACGTTATCGGCGGGTTCCTTAAAACACCTCCTACCTTGGTAAACCTCTCCGGCATCTACTTTGTGCAAAAATCATTTAGATTTAGCGTGCGATATTGAGATGGTGAACATTGTAAAGCGCATCAAAGTTAGTGAAAAAAGGAATGGTATGTTGCAAGGTGATTCTTGTTCTTTTCGCTTTTAGTATTGTTGGGTTCTTTTATCAAATTCTTCCTTGCTTGCTAGCTATTTGTCAAGGGGGCCTTCAGCGCCCCTACAAAGTGAAAATTCATTTTGGCGCCCCTGATATTTGATCGGCAGGGGGGCAATTGCCCCCTTGCCTCCTGCCAGCACGACACTGCCTTAATGTAAGTAAAAGCCGTTTTCCAGAAAGATCTTTTTCATTTGATCAAGTTTTGAATCGAGTTTAGACTTTGAACAATTCAAAAGTGTCCCATTAGTTAACATATTGATTTTACTTTGTTTTGGGTTAACGTTAAGGTTGATTTTCCTTTGTTTTGGTCAAAGCGAAATCCATTGAGTGTATAACTCTAAAAAAGTAAGCTTACGGTTTACACTGGTAAAAAATCCAGTTCCAGACACATTTCAACCAAAACTTCTGAAAATGACATGGAATTGTTATCTTCCTTTTCAGAAGTAAACAGTAGGGCTGGATAAAGACCATTAAGGTGTTTTAGAACAATATCACACCCAGTCTCTGTTTTGATAATGGCATAGGTGTCATCAGAGGCGGACTGGCAATTTTTTTCGGCCCGGGCACATTTTGATCAAACCGGCCCATAATAATAGCAAATAAAAAGTTCCTCGGAAAATGCTAGTAAATATTGGTCTGTACGGAAAACAAGTTTTCAAATTCAGTAATTTTGTGCATGGATGAATGGTTAACAGAACATGGTTAACAGAACATGGTTAATAGAACATGGTTAACAGAACATGGTTAACAGAACATGGTTAATAGAACATGGTTAACAGAACATGGTTAACAGAACATGGTTAACAGAACATGGTTAACAGAACATGGTTAACGAAAAAGCCGCCATTGTGTAGACAAAAGGAGTTCGTTTTCTCTCTCGGACTCCATTGGTAATTTTTCTTTAGGCTCGCGGCACTGATTGGTTAACTATACCAGTCTTGTGCTTGCGTTTTTCTGTTTGGCCTATTTCGATCCACAACTGGGTATATATTTTTCCATCGTGTTTTTTCGGAACCTATTCTGACGTTTTATGCTCTGAGGAGTGTCAGACGAAAAAGCTTTTAGTATGTCGTAAAATGTTTGCTTTTTTCAAAGCCATTAACCATGTTCTGCTAACCATGTTCGATCGCCCGAATAGCCCGACCAGCCAGTCCGCCCCTGGGTGTCATCCAGTAATGGAAATTTTAAATACCTTTCTCATGAAAAGATTGTTTGTAAAAGCAGACTGTTACCGATACTAGACTTTACTCCTAATTGCAAAGGCCATGGGAATGGAGCACGTTCTAGACTTTACTCCTAATTGCAAAGGCAATATCACGTTCAGAAGCTTTGATATTAGAATCAATAAGTGTTATATTGCATTTGGATGTTACAGCTGTCCTCTATGGCTGGATGGAAAAGGCAGGAAGTTATAATTTTGTCCTAGCTAGCAACTTAAAAACTAGCCAGCCTTGAATTAGAAAAAGAAGTCAATGAATGTCAATAATTTCATAGCAGATTGGTACGGATAGTAGTTGAAAACGCAGTTTCGATAAAATGTTGGCAAATTTTTGAAAGTTTTAACATCTTTCATAACTATAGTCTATGACAATGACTATTTTACAGTTCTGACATGAAGTATTTAAATGGTTTATGCATAGTTATTCACAACCATTTTGCAGGATGACACATCGAGTTATTTATTTACTGCAGGATGACACAAAATTTGCCAGAACCCAGCACTACTACTTTGTGGTGCGGTTCCTGGGACCCTTTTTAAAAGACTTTAGAGCTTCTATAAGTGAGGCGTTCTTCTTTCCTCGGTGCAAATTTGATGATATGACGCGTGAAATTCCATGGCGTCTTTTGAACTGCAATTGTTTTGAATAAATTTGCAGCATCCATAAAGTAAAGTTATTTATTAACTTGCTAGTTTTCTTTATTGGCTAGAAAACAGAGCTGATTGTTTCATAAAATAAAAATGATATAACTAACCAATCATATTAGCCTTAAAAGATAATCTATTGCCAAAACTCATTATCGTAACTTTCTTTCCTCCAAACACAAAAACAACAGTCATCTTATCGGTGTTAACACAGCTACAGACGCATCAAACCGGTGGTGTAGAATGTTTACACGCGCAACTTATTTCCCTTCATTCGCCTTTGAAGTTGTATTGTCGCTCGCGAGAAATTTCATAGCCTTTGCCAAGGGAAATTAGCTGCGGCGGCAAACGTTTGTTTATCTAAAGAGCACTACAATAACCGATTGCTCTAACAATAGAAAATCATTAAAAATTTGGTTTGACCATGACCCAGGCAACCATTTTAAACCGTCAAAGGATCACTAAAAACCATTTTCAACATGAGACGCTTATTCATTTCCTGTTCTCTGATATTCATACTGACAAAGAGGGAAGTTATTTTCAGCAAAGTAAGATTGTTGACCAAATAGAGTGGCTGACTCCTTTAGCAGACACCTCCAAGCAAAATATTGATAATAGTTTGGTATATTCATACTAAATTTCTTTCTCACTTGTTACTTTCCTTTAAGTACTTTATGTAAGTATATTCTAGGTTTTCCTTTTCATTGCGTAAAACAAGGGTTTTGAATTCTAGCTGGCGGTACCAGGCTTGCTGCGCTCAAATTCCTAACTAGAATATAACCTCATATCGGTTCACTGCACATAAAAACCAACACGCAATATTATGTCACTGAGAGGCTGGGCAATATGAACCAATTAGCATCGCGTGACACTCTTCAAAACCTGCAAAGCCCATTTGTAAATATTTGCCGAAAATTGGCTGAATATTGTTTCAATTCTTTTAGAAATTATTGGGATAAAACGGCGAAACAGTTCAGCTTCCTTTACTAAACGTTGCCATTTATTTTGATTCACAATGTAAAGAAGTAGCAAGACCCTATAAACAATTTGGAAAGTGTCATTTTTGGTGAATATTGCAAACTTTCTTGGTCTTTCCATATTATTGAATCGGTTTAGTTAAATAAACACTTAGTGAGCAAAAGTATTGCACAGGCTGAAACAGAAATGGCCGCATCGCAGCAAAAATTTTTAGCGAACCAAAGTTCAAGTTTCATAAAAGTTATAAGATGACTTTTCAACTGGAGTTTGTTGGAAAATTTATCAAGGTTTGATGGTGAAAATAGTAAATGAAAGATGACTCTTGATTTTCGCCTATTTCTAAACAATATCGACATGTCGCAACAACACCATGATGATTGAAGTACCGGTGAAACATTTGCAATAAAAAAGTTCATTTTTGCTCCAGTTTGCGATATCTTATTACAATGAACTCGGGGGTACTTACTTTATGCTTGGGTGTCTAGAACTGCTCATTTTCCTCACTTTGGTTGGAGAATCTGCTAAATGTTTTGGTCGGGAATTTTTGAAGCCACAAAGGGGCCTAATTGCAGCACCCGCTTCGTGATATGTTGCAGCAAAATTCAATCAGTAAAGTGTGGCACAAATCGTAATGTCCATCTTTTCCAACCGATTGTGATTTTGTAAAGGGAACAAATAATGCTGAAAATTCCGTAAAACAGCATTTCGTCCTCTCGTTAAATTAAAATACCGAAATTCCCGCGATAAACAGGTTCACTCGAGTGCCTCAATAGCTGTAAATGAATGGACAAAATAAAATGGCTTAAAATATGCCACTTTCCACCAAATAGAAGGCCATTTATGATCAACTTGGTACTTCAAAACCTAAATGCTATCTTGCAAATGTTTTTCTGAACTTATCATATCGTGATTGACAGAACTTGTTACTAAGCTTTTCAAAAAAGTTTAAGTCTCACAAGGGTTTCAAAGCTGGGAGACTGACCAATAAAAAGTTAAAACTTTGTTGTTGTTGACAACGCGGTCGCAATGGTCAAACTTGTGCAATTCTTTTGTTCACTAAGTGTATATCCTGAGTATATTTAAGCATAAGACAACAAAGTCGTCAATGTAAAATGCTTGATAAAAATACTTCGATGTGGCAAAATTGCTTTAGCAGGATTACTTTAAAAACTAAGACATGAGTAAGTAGCGTTACTGATAATTAAAAACCTTTTCCAATCCTTTTATCAAAGCTAGACATTCGATTGACAAAGAAAATCAAAGAAAGCTACTTTGCTGCAGATGTCTTCCTTTTCAATTCGATCCAGAAAAAATACGTAGAGCTGATATCCTGAACTCGCTTCTCTGCAAGCAGTACACCAAAGGATTTGTTAGGCTGCTTAAAAGCAAGAAAAATTCATCCCAGAGATACATCAAAAGCAACGAATCGCTACAAACAGTTTCTGGCCAAACGATGAAGTAGAGTGAGAAAGCCAGGTATGGCAAGTGTAGCAAAAGAAAGATTCCGATAATCGGCAACATAGCATAGGATCTTTCCTTTTCTCTTCGTACATGAAACAGCTCTCTTCTTTCGTTGCCATCGATCCTTCCCAGCATGGGAACCGTTCTTCTGTGCTTTCTGATTATAAGGTAAATGCTTAAGTATGTAAAAATTACGGTCAGAATAACAATGAAAATGAGTGCGAACAATGTATATTGAAAATTTTGAAACGCTGACGAATTTGAAATGTGTGACAAAGTAAATATAAGCCAAATTAAGCACAAAATTGTGACAATAAAAACATGGGTCTTGCAAGTTGCATATCTTCTGTATTTGTAAGGGTGAGACACTGCCGTATAGCGATCCAGACTTATAACTGCCACAATCAAACACGATGAGCCACTGCAGAGAGTGAACAAAATATGAAAAGAATTCAACAGTACATCAGACACTATCTCATCTCCTTCGATCAAAAATAATATCATCAGGTAAAACATTTGAGCAACCATTCCAACAATAAGATCGGACCAGCAAAGAGCACCAACAAGGATGTTCGAAGGTACATGTAATCGCCGTGACTTGCAGAGGATAACTAAGAAAAGTCCATTTGCTATTATCGTCGCGATTGTCACAAATACATCGAGAACGATCAATATAACAACATTGGTATGAACGTGACCGCCTCTTGCGATATTTAAAGAGAGATGCGTGCAGTTTGTTTCGCTCGAAGATAAGCCCATCTTATTACTGTCTTGTTGCAGCATAGAGTTTGTCTCCCAGGTCTTACTGAGATGATCCACTGAGCAGCGCAGATTAAAAGGTTGAGTATAACATCTGCATTAGTCAATCTACTTTAATCACAGGTGCAGCTGAAAAAGGCCAATGAGTTTCTCGTGCATCAGGTAATACTTCGATATAGTGCATCATCTCAACGGTCCACAAGAAATTCAGTCAAGTGACGTTTAATACAATGTTTGCATTTCTGGTTCGAGCTTCCCACCCATCACGCATACATTTATAGCTTGACAATTTTATAGACCTGTTGTAGCAATAAGCTACTGGTGAAACCAAGGAAAACAAAGATCTAAATTTGCCTAAGAGCTAAAAATCTGTTTTGTATTAAAAGCAAATATTATAAATTGCTATTGACTTGGAGAACTAGCCATCTGCTGACTCTGAGCCTAGAACTGGAATTTTTCACAATAGCAACTGACAGCAGGTGCAATTTAGTAGCACTGAGACAGCTCTTGACACTCAGTAAACTCACTCTTTTAGTGGTCGTTATGTTTTTCTCGACGCATTGCAGTGTTTTTCCTCTTCATAGCTTTATCTTTCATCGCAAGTGTCCTGTTTGAGTCCGTTTAGCATTTTTGCTACCGTAGTTTTTACATTTTTTACTTAACAACAGCTGCATGACCAGATAAATCAGGTTTAGAGAAACTAAGAAAGCTAATCATGCAGAATTATTCCTTCAGATGCACAACCTTTTTTAGATACGAGTTCGTATTTTTGTTATGCTACATAAATCCTATCTTCCTCAGATAATATGGTTGAAATCTGTTGGTAAAAAGCTCTGGTTTTATTGCTCTGGAAGGTAAAAAATTGAGTTGAGATATTCAGGGACGTCCAGGGCCGTCACGAGACAAGTCTTGTTGGGGAGGGTGTGGACTGCAAATTTACCTGATTAAAAGATTGTTGCCTGAAATTCTTTAGTTGCTGTCACAAATCTCTGCAATACATTTTGTCAATTTAACTCTGTATATAATTCGCAACTTTCATTTTTATATGATAATAACGGACTTTCCTAAGATTTTTCAAGTCTCTATATCAGAACGGGCAAAAGATATAGTTACTACTGGAGGCGGCGCCATGGTTGCCGCTGAAGGAGCAGGAAATTTTCAAATTTTGATGCTTCAAGTTCTCTGGAAAATGCACTCTTTTAAGCACATTTCATTAAAGACATCTCCCCTTGTCCTATTGAAAATTATTTTTTTGCAAACAAATTGAACAGCAGATTAAAACTTCTAAAGTCTGTTACCTCTAAAGCTAGGTAGCAAGCAGCAATGGTTGTCAAATAAGATCCCTTTTTCCATCTTAGCATGCCTTTAGAATGTTAAAACAAAATCTGGAGCTCATAGTGAAATGCAGTTGACGCTTCTACCGAGAAACTTTAGGGGAAATGGACACAAGACATAATTTTACCTAAAGAGGGCCTGGATTTTTAGATTTAGTGCCAACAAGAAATCTTCAAATCTTCAAATCATTAGTTTGTTTACCTTCATTCATATCAAGGAAACAACATATTTAAAAACAGAGCAACTACCTTTGCTTGATCCTTTATTGATTTTATGACATGAAGGTCTCTGAAATACCTAAAGCGTTTTTCCACCGAGCGGATTTTACCTGAAATTTCCTTTTGAGCCCCCTGGTCGCGACTCGAAATTTGACAATTTTGTTCATTTCGACATTGTGTTTCATTTCTTTGGCGCTTTGCTCCATTTTCTCTAGAAATATTGATAACTATTTTATAAGGGTCGATCTTCATCCAACACAATTTGGCTGGGCCTATCATTCTCATTTTAGGCCCTTTCTTTTATTCTTACATAACATATCTGTCTTTCATAAATGCCAGTTCACATACTTCACTTCAGTTTTCAATTTAGTATTATTCCAATTTTATGAAAGCAACTTTCGTAAAGCAAACTGCACTAAGAATTCTTTATAAAGATATCCAGAGACCAATTTGTTTCGACAGCTATGCAAACAGGATAAAACGAGACTGATTTTGTTGCATTTTTGACAAAATATATCCTCCAGTCACCTGCTTGCACAAAAGTGGGCGTCAATTAGTATTCCAGCTGATCTATAACAACGACAATTGAACAACGCAAGTTCTTAATAGATTCAGTTGTTCATTTGCGTACAGCCATGCCATAGTCATACCAAATCTTACGCCTCAAAATAGGAAGTTTGAAAAAAGAAGTAGGTGAAAATTGAGCCAAGTGCCTTCAACTCGTGATCAAAAGCTCAATTTTAAACTAAACAAAATCTTTATAGAAGGTTAATCCTGCAGCAAATTTAGTTTTAAACTTAGGGAAATCTCCCCCACACCACCTGCTAAGCAAGAGCAAGGGAAACATTTTTGTTGCAACATTGGAGCATGGAACTTTCTTTGGTTCCTTAAGACAATCATGCAGTGGGAAGTGGTTAGGAAAAAGATCTTGAAAAGCACTAGCGACATCATCGAAACAAAACCAGCAACAGCAACAACGACAACAACGAAAAATACAACACAAACGACCGCTGATCTAAACGACCAACATAACAACAACGGCAAATACAACAACACCAACGATATCATCGACAACAATTTACGAATAACGTTCTCTAACAAATCTTTGCTTGTGAAATTGTAATTCTGTTTATGAATTTGAATGGCGTACCTAATGGTGTCTTAACAGAGCCTATAGATTAGTAGTTCCTTTATTTAATACTTTAAGATTGCACAAAATAACGGAAACATAGTATAAAAAAGAGCTTTTCGTACTTCACGCAGTGTAAACTATAAACAGTGTGGGTTGAAATTATTTGACCAAAGAACAACTACCACACAATTATCAGGAACATTTTCATCATCACTCATGCTTAACTCAAAAACCTAACTACCCAACAAAAAAACTACAATAATCACACCTCATCGCACGTGCTATATCGTAAGCCTGGGGAGAGCGCAGAGTAACCAGCGACCGCTAACATCTCACCTTTTTAAAACTTGACCGTAAAACTATAGAGAAGGGTTAAATTCTAGATGCTCTCCTTTGTCACAAATCAATGACAGAGATTGACAATCCCTCATGGTCAGTGGGTGGACAGTACAAATTAATGTTCTATGAATAGAGTCAAAGAGTATGCGAGCGAGCGAGTGAGACGACCCGGGCATCGCTGCTCTACCAAAAGCCCTGTTCGCCTATCGCCGATCTATGAATTGTTCAAACAATTGTATATAAATAATCAATTGTATATTTTTGCTTCAAGTTACGCAAGCACTTTCCGACTAAATAATAACAACAAATTATTTGTCATTTTGTCAATAAATTTTAAACCAGTTGTCATTTCATTTTGAAAAACAAAACCTCATTATTACAAGGTTGTTTGTGTGTGGCACACTTACATTGAAAAAAAAACCATTACAAGTGCGAGAAGAAAATGACAGTTGTACACAGCATTAATATAAGCATGATGATGTAATGATGGTGACGCTGACGATGTTGATAATGCTTATGAAGATGACAAAAGTGGTGACGATATTGATAATGGCAATTAAGATTGTAATGGTGGTTGTGGTATAGGTGAAGATAGAATACTAGATGAAAAGAAGCTCTGGGTTAGGCCAAGGTTTGTTTCTATGGCAGAATATAAAGTAGGTGATTCGAAGGTCAGGTCGCAAAGAATCACATGTTATAATGGATGGGGTAAGATGAGATGGAAGATCAGCATATAAAAATGTGTTGGAGAGAGGCTGTGTGTTTTTACCCGAAAGTTTAGTGCGGAGTTATGTCTCCAAATGTAGCGTCCATTTTCAAGGTATATCTTACAGCCAGCTTCGACATGAAGCAGCGTTTCTGGAAGGAGGCAAAAAGAACATGTGGAGGTTTTAGATAAGTTCCATTTAAAGAGATTATTCCTATTAGAAAGCGTGTTGTTGAGGTATCTTATTGAGAAGTTGAATATGTTTTAGGCAAAGAGCTTTGTGAAGTCGACCAGAGGCTATTGAACTGTTTCAGAGAATTCTCTAGCGGAAAGGAGATTATAGTTCCTTGGCTTGCGAGCTGGTTTTCTAGTTTGCCTTTATGCTAGCTTCTAATTTCTTTCAAAACTGCCTTTGTGTTCATGTATTGATCATATTGGATATTCTTTCCGTATGCGGTGTTTTGCTTAAGATGTTTGATTTGATCATGTTTCGAGTGCTTTAGAGAACGTCGATAGGTGACTTTGCACTGAAGGAATTTGCAAGATAGAAGCTGCAATAATAATAATAATAATGATAAAAATAATAAGAATAGTAATAGAAGATTAGAAGTGAAGATACATGGGGATGAATAAGAAAAGGCTACCAAAAGAAAGAAACTTAGGGTCTGATTTTTGCAGCGCAGTAGCAAGCCCTCAGAACCAACTGGATAAAGAAGAACATTGATGGACAAGATGTTTCGTTGAAGTGTAGAAGGTGCGGGAAAGGGATGAGCAACCTGGTAGCACAGTGTAAAAATCCTGCGCAGAATGTGTATAAACAAAGACACGATAGCATTGCAAGAATTGTACATCTAGAACTAGGTCAGAAGTTTGAGCTCACAGCAGAAGCTAAGTGATACAACCACAAATCTAAAAATGTAATGGAGAATGACAGGGTAAGAATTTTATGGGACTTTAGCATCCAAACAGATCATGTCATCCAACACAAAAGGCCTGACATTGTGATGGTGTACAAAGATGAATGGAAGTGTCAGATTGTGGATATTGCTGTACCCGGGGACAAAAGAGTTGAATTGAAAGAGCAGGAGAAGATAGAAAACTGTAGTGAATTGATAAAGTCAGACAGTGTCAGGCAAGTCCTAGAGACCTAGAGACCAAGTTGCTGGTGCAACTTGCTCTCTAGGAATTACAACGGATACATCTGAACTGAGATTGCAGAAAGTGCGGGATAAAATATACTGACAAGTGGTATGGTCATCAGCCATTGACAGTTGCAGAGAACAGAGATGCTCAAATGATCTGGGACATGATTAAACTAGTAGAAAGCTGCAGAATAATCCACCGGATATTACCCTAGTGCGGAAAGATACAGAGGAGTGGACAATAATTGACATAGCTGTACCAGCGGATCAGAACATTATCAAAACTGAGGACAAGAAGGTGACCAAATATCAAAATCTAGCAATCGATATTTAGATAATCCACAGAGCAAAGAGCATCAAAAGTGACAGTAATACTAATCGTGGTTGGTGCACTTGGAACAATCTCATAGAACGCAAAGACCTGGCATAGGAAATTGGACATTCCTGACATCGTTGGAAGTGCACAGTTGTCGGCCATCCTGGGAACAGCTCACATATTATGGAAAGTGCTGTGTTTCTAAGCTGCAGGAAGTAGGTGAGACATGACAAAGATTATCCAGAAGAGCATCAATGGACTGAAGAGAATCACACAATAATAATAAATAATTGATATACAGTTGGCAATAATTATTTTGTGTATTAAGCATCAAGCTAATTTAAGCCAACTATTTACCATGAACGTGATTATTCATAAAAAGTAATAATCTATAAAAAGCCTAAATGTAAATATATGCTTTGCAAAATTTACAGCTGCACTTGGAGTTTTTGAAAGATTTTATGATTTGTTTAAAGACATGTAGTGGTAGGGTCTTTTAATTTCAGTAGGTAGCTTTTGCCATATTTTTGGCCAATAAATCTTATGGACTCTGTGCAAAATTTTGTCCTCTTTCTATTTTGCAAAATGTTGTTGTTTGCTCAAATTCATTATTAAGGTTTCTTGACTAAAAAATCATCCATTAATATTGGATTC